ACATCGGAATAGAGAGGTGAGTGACCGGCCACCAGGGGTCAGAGAGGAAGGGTGTCTGGGTGGAGGGGTATTCCCAGCTCTGACCCCGATTCTTTGTGTACCTGCGGGTAAATCTCTGTGCTTCAGCTCCGCACTGGTAAAAGTGGGAGAAGAGCCCGGCTCTGTCTCACAGAGGTTGCAAGGGTAAAGGTTCAGAGAAGCACAGATTCTGGGGGTGCTCCAGGGTTGGAGCACCCATGGAAAAAAATAGTGGGTGCACAGGACCCACCAGCAGCTCCATGGATCAACCCCTCCCACTACCCCTCATCGCCTTCCTGTCCTATACACTCAGCTGTTTAGAGATGTGCAAGAGGAGCGGGGGGAAGGGAGGAGCAAGGGTGAGGTGCACTCAGAGGAGGGGGCGGAACATGGTGGGAAGTGGCAGGGCAGGTGTGGGGCCTTGAGGAAGGGGTGGAGTAGGGCAGAGCCAGGGGCAAAGCAGGGTTCGAGCATCCACCAGGGAAATGAGGAAGTTGGTGCCAGCGACTCAGATATTTGGCAAGGTAGGGATCAAGCCCTACCATATCCATCTTTTCCTTTCGGTTCTAGCTCTAAGCCAGGAAGCTGGGCAGGTGTTCACATCCGAAATACTTGTGCTGAGAAGGCTGCAGTGTTGCCTCAGCCTGATTTGCTCATGTATCCAGCCCTCAAAAAAGGATTTGGCAGAGGAGGAGGAGGGGGGAGATCTAGGCTGAAATCCTGTGTCTGTTTGAGAGTCCCTGCGTGACCTTGTACTCTTTATGTCTCTGGGCTTCGGCTTCCCATCCGAGATGGAGGGAAAACAAGAGCTCATTTCTCCGGTCTGTTTAGACCGCAAGTTCTTTGGGGCAGAGAGCCTTTCCCTGTGTGTGTGGACAGCACCTAGCCTAGCACAATGTTCTCTGATCTCTGTTGAGGCTACAAGGAATAATGATAGGTCTTTTTTCACCCATTAGATCAAGGCTGTCAAGGACCAATAGATCATCTGGTCTCCTGCAGACTCACAAAACAGGTCAAGGAATTTCATAGATGCAAAACCCTTAAGCTAAGTTTTTAGCCCTTCCGGCCATTCAATAGATGAGCCTAGCATTTGTTTTCCAAAGTTTCCAGTCACACTTGCTTAACCGATTCGGTCATTCCTTCTTTGGATGTCTTTTATCCTGGGCATCCTTGTGAATGTTGCCAATTGTCTGTGCCCAATCTTCTCCATGCCCATTAAACAATCTGGAGGCTGAAATTCACCTAGGGAAAAGGGTTCATGCACCGTTGAAATCCAGAGGGAACTCTACCCGGGGTAACAATCCATTGCAACCTGTTCTACTTTCTTCCCTATTCCTCCTAGCATGATCAATGCTGATTTCTGCTCCGGAGCTGTCCTGATCTCCTTTGGGGCAGTTCTGGGCAAGACAAGCCCTGTCCAGCTGCTGCTGATGGCCCTGTTCGAAGTCACCCTCTTTGGTATTAATGAATACATCCTTCTCAGCCTCATTGGGGTAAGACACTTTTGATGGCTCTTTTGTTCCCCAGGGGAAGGAATGTTCTAAGGGGGGCGGCGTGGCCTCAGCAAATATCCATCTTGTTGTCAGATCAGTGGCTAAATAAATTGTTTAGATCCAAACAAAATGTTTAATTTGACTCAAAAATGTGATTATTTTCATTTTGTTTTGGAGTGGTTTTTATCCTTCTCTATTTTTGTTTTGATGACTCTACTATTGTGACAGACCCAGACCAGCTGGCTGCCGTATTCTAATGGAGGGAACCTGGGCTCTGGGTGAACTGTTTCCTCTTCCCTGGGGCCAATTAAAAGCTTGCCAGAAGCAGCAGGCTAATCTGGGCAACTGCAGCTCATGAAGCCTGCTGGGACTTGTTTATAAGGCCTCCCTGCAAGGCAGGCAGAGTAGCACAAGATCTGAGTGTGAGAGGTGTTGTGAGTGAGAGCTGAGGAGTGCGAGTAAGGCAGAGGGCTACGGACAAGCAGGACAGACTTGTGCAGGTACCAAAGGAAAGGTACTGGGAGAGGTTGTTTGGGGACGTGGCCCAGGGAAGAAGCTGCTAGACTGGGAATAGAGGAACGCCTGCCTGTTGTCACTGCTTAAGAGTCCCTGGGCTGGAACCCAGAGAAGTGGGTGGGCCCAGGTTCCCCCCAACCCTCCCCACACCACTGCAGAGTCTGTCCCTGAGAGCGGGGACCTGACTATGGAGGGGTATCCCTCCAACCTGTGGACTAGATCAGTGTTTCTCAACCAGTGGTACGAGTACTCTCAGGCGGTGTGGGGGGGGGGCGGGGGAGGGGTTTACATCAACACAACTGAAATTTGGAGAAAACTGAATCTTTGTTTTATAGCACTTTATTATTGTTGTGCTTTTTACCCTCCCAAAATTTCATCGCCCGCCTGGCTACCATTAAGTTCTTTAAACAAATGTGTTGCCATAATAGAAAAAAATTGTGTGTGTTTGAAAACTGTAGCTACTGGGGGTGCTTATATCTTTTTTTTAAAGGGGGTACTTTTTTTAAAAAAAAGAGGTACTTTATAAAAAAAGGTTGAGAGACACTGGACTAGACTATCATGAGTACAGCTCAGCAGGATGTGGCTCTTGTCTTTAGAAAAGAAGAGGCCATGTGGAGGGTCACAGCAAGCCTCTAAGGCAAATACTGTCCTCCAGAAGCACAGTGTTCTCGGGGCACAACCGGAGCTTTGCCACACCACTGTATTTGCCGTCCAGCATTTCAAACTGTTTTAAAAATAAAATTCAAGGAAGCTTCCAAATGCAAAAGAGTTTTCAAGTTAAATGTGTAGATTTTGAAAGATTTTTTAGGGTCCCTCTTTTCCTCTCCCCATCCTCAACCCCATCAAAGCATTTAGCAAAACCAGCAGAAAACATTTCCAAATTGTCAATCTCCATTTCTTCGTTGAGAGCAGTTGGGCTGAAAACACACTGCCCAGAGGTAGGACAGACCAATGTTCCCTGTAAGCCGAGCTCTTGGGTGGCCACCCAGGAGAGATGCAAATGCCGCCCAGCTGATTAGCAGAGCGCCCACGGTGCCCACAACTGGCAGCATGTGTTTCTATAGGTGGTGCACATCTGCACATACCTTGGTGTATATAACACAAATTTTTCCATATGTGGATGGAAAAAATTAGAGGGAACATTGGTACAGGCTCTATGGTCTTCTGCCCCCTTTTCACCATCATGCCTTGCTTCCTGTACCAACCAGGCAAAAGATGCTGGAGGCTCTATGACCATCCACACTTTTGGAGCTTACTTTGGATTGATGGTTTCTCGGGTTTTGTATCGGCCCCAGCTGGACAAAAGCAAACAGAGGGAAGGCTCTGTGTACCACTCAGATCTCTTTGCGATGATTGGTAAGGACTGGGAACACATGTATGTAGCTTAAGCCCCAGATGTGGGCAAAATAACATCAGAAGAATCCAAAACCCATGACTGTGATATTTAGGAGCTTCAGGGGGTAGCTGAGTTAGTCCGTTATAGAAAAAAACAACAAATGGTCTGGTAGCACTTTATAGACTAACGAAACATTTAGATGTTTCGTTAGTCTATAAAGTGCTACCAGACCATTTGTTGTGATATTTTAGGCGGCTTTATCAGGAGATTCCTTTGGCCCCAAATTTGGTTCAGATGGCCCCAAATTTGGACCATTAACCCTGTCCCAGTGTAACTTTACCCAGGATACCATCTGGGCCATTGAACGGCTGCTGAGACCACTTCTCCCTTAGTTCAGTTGTCTCCCTTAGTTCAGTTGATGTCATAAGCAGAGAGACTGAAGACAGAGAGATGAAGTGGAGCCTCTGTCTCTTATATCAGCCTCCTCTCTTTGAGGATTACCCCAAATTGGCCGCTTAAACCAGTAGTAGCTCTTTAATGTGTGGCTAGAGGCTCCAATGTGTTTTTGTCTCTGAAGAACTGTTTTGGGCCTGCCTTTTTAGCTTGGGAACATGTTGCATCAATATTATACAGTAGAAACATATAACTTTACATACAATGCTGTTACACATATTTTACCAGGACAATAATGTTCAGCAGATTATGAGTTTTCAAATGATATCTCACAAGGATGTTTTGTACAAAATGTATTATAGTCTTGTAAAAGTAGTAACTGTAGTATTGACCATCACTTCCAAACAAGTCACAGCAAGTTTCAAAACAATGCAAGAAAGCATGTGTACTTCAGGGCACTGAGAAAAATCCTTTGTTAAATAGTAAACAACTCTCTCAATAAACATGCTCATCAGCAGTTCCATGAGATGAGATGAGAGAGAATTTGCATCAAACTAAACTTGACAATTTAATCAGAAAAGTGAATTTTGAGTCTTCCACGGTAGGTCTAGACTACAGGGTTTTGTCAACAAAAGTGGACTTTTGTCAACAAAATTATACCTGCGTCTACACTACCGCTGAGTTATGTTGGCATAACATCGACAGAACGTGGCAGTTTTGTCGATGGCGGTAAACCTCATTCTACGAGGAATAACACCTTTTGTTGACAGAGTTCTGTCGACAGAAGGCATTATTGCATCTACACTGTCCTTGGTGTCTACACTCTCATGTCGACAAAGCAGCTTGCTTTGTTGACAGAACTGGATGTAGTCTAGACGCTCTTTGTTGACAGAAGCTTTGTCGACAGTATCTGTCAAAAAAGTCTCTGTTGACAAAAGCCTGTAGTCTAGATGTACCCCTAGAGTGAGTATTCGAACCTAAGTCTGAGTTTGAATTAAACTTAAATTTTCCCCTCAGAATTTTCCATTCATTTATATATATATTTGGTTGAAAAAATGAGAAACTTAACATTTTTGGTAAAAAAGATGTTTTGATTTAACCAAAATCCAGAACTAGTCTTTTGTTTTCTGTTTTTTTCAATGGAAAACAGGAAGGTTGTGTCTAGACTACATGCCTCTGTCGGCAGAGGCGTGTAGATTAGACAGATCAGCAAAGGCAAATGAAGCCACGATTTAAATGATCGCGGCTTCATTTACATTTACATGGCTGCCACGCTGAGCCGACAAACAGCTGATCAGCTGTTTGTCGGCTCGCGCGCTAGTCTGGACATTCCCCCTGTCGACATCAAAGCCCTTTGTCGGCAGCCCCGTTATTCCTTGTGGAATGAGGTTTACCGGGGCTGCCGACAAAGGGCTTTGATGTCGACAGGGGGAACGTCCAGACTAACAGCTGATCAGCTGTTTGTCGGCTCAGCGCGGCAGCCATGTAAATGTAAATGAAGCCGCGATCATTTAAATCGCGGCTTCATTTGCCTTTGCTGAACAAACAAATCTACATGCCTCTGCCGACAGAGGCATGTAGTGTAGACGTACCCGAACATTTCAAGAAAAACATTCAGGACCCTTTTCCTTTTGGTCAAAGACCTGTTTCCCATTGTTTTGACAAGAAGTGGCTTTTGACCAAAGTCACAGAACATTTTCCATCAGCGTGGGGAGAAATTCCCCACCTTCGAAATCTGCTTTCAACGCCAACTTTCCTTCCCACGCAGGAACAATCTATCTGTGGCTCTTCTGGCCAAGTTTTAACTCCGCGATCACAGCTCATGGTGACGATCAGCTGCGGACAGTCATGAACACGTACTTCTCGCTGGCGGCAAGCACCCTGGCCACCTTTGCCATCTCAGCCCTCGTCAATGAGGAAGGCAAACTGGACATGGTGAGACAACTCAGTGATGACTCTCTTCTTGCTGCTGCACCCCAGCATTGGGGAGGGGGGAGGATGAGCCCCACTTTGGGGAGGCTAGCCCCCAGCCCTTCAAGCCCTGAATTCCCTCCACCTCCACCCCATAGCCAGCCCAATCCCTGGAGCACTGGACTGGCTGGAAGGAAGAGAGGGAGTAAGGGTAAATTCTGGGTTAGGGGAGTCTGAGCCTTCCTTGGCCTTTGATACCTACCACCATGGGTGTCCGGTATACTAGGCAAGGGAAGGTATTGACTTCCCAAACCACCAGCCTTGCCCGGCCCAGACTCCACCCCCAGAATGCCTACTGAGGGCGGAAAGGCTGGGGCCATGCACCGTCTCGCCTCCCTGTGATGCTGGGGGGCATCTCCTGGGCAGAAGGTGCGGAGCTGGGGGCGGGGATGGGGGCTTGCCTCCCCCAGCCGTACCGTCACCCACTGCCCATTCCCGCCACACATGCCCCCAAGTCTCCTGACAGCCACATTTCCCGGCTTCCAACAAGAATCTCAGGCTTTGGGGGCTCCAGGACGCATCCCCAGCGCTCTGTGCCTCGCGACCTCCCAAGATTCACAAGAGGAAGGCTCCTTTTGGGCAGACCTGCTTCGCCCAGAGGGTGGGTGGGTACTGTGGTGAGCAGGTGGTACCAGGGATCACTATTCAGGGGCACCCGTATGTTTCCCATTGTGGTCCACTGAGCCTCATGCTCTGGGCATCCGGCATGGGTGGCAGGTGAAGGCCTAGCCCCGCCCCTTCCACCTGAGGCTCCGCCCCTTCAGCAACATCCCCCTGCCCATCCCCTTCCTGGCCACCTGGAAGGCTGGGGCTGCCATGCCGCAGTGGCTGAGCAGTGTAGGCAATGTAGATTGCCCCTGGCACCCAGCTCCCCACCCCTCTCATCGCTTGGGAGAGACCCCAGTCTTTCCCCCTCCTGACCGAGAGTTTTCCAGGCGACACTGCAATATTCCTAGCAGTCTGTCTCCTCAGGCCCCTCGCCTCTGGAGAGAAAGCAACGAGCAGCAGCATCACCCCCACTTAATGTTCCCACCCAGCCCTCTCTAAGCAAGCACGTTTATTCATAAGGTAGCAGCATTACAGGGAAAACGTACTCAAAACAATACACTAAAGGGCTCATCAGAGGCCACCCCCAACCCCAACCTCAGGCTCCAGGAGGTGTCAGTCCCACAAAACCCCCAATCAGGATTTCCCCGTGGTTCCAGGTTCACACCTGGCTCAGATTCACAACCAACATGAACAGCTTTATACAGCTTGGGCTTTTCACCTTGGCCTTGTGCACCAGGCGATCAGCTGTCAGGGACCCCTTCTCCAGAGCAGAACTTCAACAGGCTGAGTTTAGGTGTAACCGGCGGTGGGAAATTTGCATTCCTCCCCCTTTCCTTTATTCTCCAGGAAAAACATTAAGAAGTTTCTCTTCTGCATGGTTCAACAGAGACCTTTCAAGCCCTTGTTCTACCATCTGTCACATGTCCTGCCCTTGAGAGGTTACAAGTGATCCCGGCCCACAATAAACACACAAGCCATTTGTTTAATACAAGAGAAACCAAAGAGAAATTTAATTCAATAAGGTCTCCCAAGGAGATTGTGGGAAAGTGTCAGCGGCAGCAAGGAAGCATGGTCCAGGAGTTAGGACACCTACCCTAAGGGCTTCATAGACCTTGGGTCTAGTCCCATCTCTGCCACAGACTCACTGTGCAGCCATTGGCAAGTCATCCACTCTGTGCCTCAGTTTCCCTCACTGTATAATGGGGGTAATAGCACTGCCCTATCTTCCAGAGAGATTGTGGGGCTAAAGTCTGGGAGGTGACCTGGTGGGGCCCCTGTAGATACCATCAGTAGTTAAGGTGGTGATGTTTCTCACCCTTCCAAGGTCCGTTTGAGCAGGCTTCCTCTTTCATGGGGCTGCCATTTTGAACTGCGCAACCCAGATTCAGCTTTGCTTTCCCACTGGCTCGCCGTCCAACCTTTACCGTACCTGCCTAGCATCCGGCATGGGAGTCAGCCCTGAACTCCCCCCGTGCTCTCTCTCTCTCTCTTTCACCAGGTCCACATTCAGAACGCAGCCTTAGCTGGTGGGGTTGTGGTGGGGACGTCGGCCGAGATGATGCTGACGCCGTTCGGCGCCATGATCGCCGGGTGCCTCGCCGGCCTCGTTTCTACCCTGGGCTTCCGATTCCTCACGGTACATCAGGCTGGAGGCACCTACGCTGCAAGCCTCCGGGGGTGGCATGCTGCAGGGTGCAGCTCCGCCGGCCAGCGGAAAGCCGTGGCAGGCGGTGTCGATAGGGGAGGCTCTGCTTGGGGGCGTAGAAAGCCGTGTAGGGTGCACACCCCGGGACCTTCGCACAGGGGTGTCTTCATTCGGCTGGTCTAGGCAGCGCCTCACAGGCGGCAGTGCTCCTCAGACCCCTGCTGAGGGCACGTCGTGCGCGTCCCCCTCACGCCACTGACAGGAGTGGGCCGGTGAAGGTGCCTTTGACGTGGGGACTGATCCTGCCATAAGGCCTTTGTCTCCACAGCACCTCGAAGTGGGAGACGATTTCATTTCAGCCCACTGTGCCCGAGCTGGGGGTCAGTGAGACACAGGCCCCCTAGCTAGACTCTTGCCCTCCTGACACGCGGGAAAGGGGCTGGAGCGAGGCCCTGAAATGCCCGCGGGGCTCAGGAGAGGTTTCCTCTAGCTCAGGGGCGTTGGAAGAGAGGCACCATGCGGCCTGCCGCCCTCACTGCTCCCAGCATAGGACATGTAACGAGCAACCGCGAGTCCATACGCCACATCCCTGGCAGAGTAGAGGCCATGTAGCTATGAGCTGCAGCAAAAAGCAACCTGCATCCTGGGTAGCCGGTTCAATGGGCCCGTGGGGCCCAGGCACTAGGAATATTCCTGGGATGGGGCCTGGCTTCAGCAAAGTTCAGGGCGCCCTCACTGCTCCCAGCATAGGACATGTAACGAGCAACCGCGAGTCCATACGCCACATCCCTGGCAGAGTAGAGGCCATGTAGCTATGAGCTGCAGCAAAAAGCAACCTGCATCCTGGGTAGCCGGTTCAATGGGCCCGTGGGGCCCAGGCACTAGGAATATTCCTGGGATGGGGCCTGGCTTCAGCAAAGTTCAGGGCTGGGTCTCTCCTGTAGCCCCGCCTGCTGCCCCCACTCGCTGCCCCCTGGTGC